TGGTTATGTCTCTGTACTGTCTCCTCTTTTGTGCCTGCCAGCTCCTCTATACAAAACCCAGCTACCAAGCACTGTTGAACAAAGGCAGCTCTTGTTCAGCAGAGCTTTGCTTGGCCTTAATTTTGGCTCTCAGGTGGATCCTGCTGGAGTCCGAGGGGCTTCAGCACGTGCCTAAACACTTTGCTAATTAGCAACAAAGCTGAATCTCAGCTCTGGGGATTTATCCACATGCAGATTTAGAGGTGTTTGATGGTGGTGGGGACTAATTGGGGTAAGAAGGACTTTGATCCAACATGAGCCATTTAGCCAGGACTGGCGCTGCCCTTTGGGCACACGGAGCTGCAGCAGCCTCAGTTGGAGCAGCTGCAAACCTGGGCAAGCACAAGCCATGGAGCAGCTCCTCTGCATCCCTGTCACACCTGGTCTGCCTTTAAGGAAATGAATGCACACTGTCCCAACATTAAAGATTAAAAGCAGCTGCATCTCATCACAGCCAGGAGATTTGTCCAGAGCCGATGACAAAAAAAATGACTTTTTGGGGAATAACCTTGACTGCTGGTGCTGCGTATTTTCAAGGCATATTAATCACAATTTCTGTGTGAATACTTCTTTCACTGGAAATGGAGAGAGGGATGAAGCTTGGGAAGTTCTGGGGTGGTTTGATTAAAAATGCTGAGCAGACCCCACAGAACATCATGGCACAAACAGCTCAAGACATGAAAATGTCCAGTTAGAGTCAAGGCATTCTTTGAATCCAGCCCTTGGGATAAAATCTGGCAACACAGGGGAGTGGGGCTATTTTTTTGGTTGAAATAGTGCTTTCCTGTATTACAATTATTACAATTCCTATTGTAATAATAATTTTAAAAGGGTCTTTCTTCTACTAAGGCCGAATTGACCAGAAATTCAAAGATGAAGTGGTGTGAAAAGAAGGGTTACATTTGGGAGACTGGTTTGCAATTAAAGACACACGGGGTAATTGCTGCAGCCACCTCCTTTCCTTTACAGTCACTGCCCACGGAGACCACCATAACCCAAAATCTGAGGTATATAAAACCCTACATGAAGATAAAGCAACAAGGCAGCTCTTCTCTCTCCACATTCCACTGTATCCATGGGAACAGGCTGGGATTTGACATCTACACAGTAGCTATAGACAGAAACCCTGCAGTGCACAGAGGAAAGGTCAGTGGAGCATCCCAGCCATGGTGGCACCCACGGAGCAGCTGGGGCACTGGGGACACCCTGGGGACACCCTGGGGACACCCTGGGGATAACCTGCTCCCTGCCCAGCAGTCACAGATTTCCTGTGTGCTGTGGTGCAGCCAGTTTGCGGAAAGAAGAGTTAAAGAGCTGATGTGGTTCTTGGGCACAAAGAGCTGGTGGAGCAAATGGTGGGGTGAAGGAGACCCTACCAAGAGGAAAACAAGAAGGAATAAAGCTGTTTTTTCTAGATAGGTTTGACTGTTAAATTGGGGGGGAAAAAAAGTAAATAAGTAAATAAATACATCCCATGAGGAAGGAAGAAGAAGAAGAAAATAAATATCTCTCAGCTACTTCTCATTAGTGGAGGAGTATTTACTCAGGTGAATATTCTGCCTGCTCACACAGCATCCCCAGCACAGGCACACCAGCTCTGCACAGCTAACAAGCTATCAGCAGGGAAGAATATGACTATTTAATTTCCTAGCACACCTTGAATAGCCCATGGGGCCAACTCACATTTGGGAAAATGAATACACAACCTTGATGAATAGTATTAATAATGCAACGCAAGGACTTGAGAGCAGAGCACTGTGAGCTAGAAACCCCCATGCTGTGTACACCAAGTCAGCTCCTGAGCCTGCCACAGTGGTGTGTTTTAGGGACAGCACCCTAAAAAATACCTTTGAGTCTTGTCTGCTTGAAGGTGATAAAGGGCACAGGTCTTTCACCCTCTGTCCAGATGATGCCACAGCAAAATTCTTCTTGGGCTTCCCTAGCAAAAGGATTTGCTCTCCCCCTGCCTACCTGACCAGCAGCTCCATGGCCCCTCCTGGGCAAGGGCAGCACCAGCCTGCCTCAACACATCTGCCCAAACCTCATCTCACCACAGCAGCAGCTTCAGCAGGGCTCTTGGTCTGCATCCTTGCCTGGAGTTGGGGGGTTGCTGCCTCACAGGACCTCCTGCCTCACCTGAACCTTCCCAGTGGCACCTTGTGCCCACTGCCACCGCAGCTGCAAGGGGAGCAGCACTGGAGGGCAGGACATCTACACCTATTTGTGAATTTATGTATTTAATCATGGTTCTTTAAGTGTGCAAGAAAGGGCTCTGGAGCCTCAAGATGCTCCGGCAGCAATGGAAGGAGAACAAGACCCAGCACAGCCTTGTTATTCCTGGCTACTCCATTACTGCTCGTGATTGGTCTTTAATGAAGCTCTTGCATCCACACCTCATGGTCCAGTGAGGGTTGTCAGGACACTGCTAATGAGAAAATGGTCCCCTCGGGGCCCTATCACACCTGAGGCCATGGGAATGTTGTGGTGTAAAGGGGGAATGAGGAGAGTCCTGGGGATGCTGGCACAGGAGCTTTCATGTCCCAGAGATATAGGCCACAAAATGCCTTTTTGGGCTTACAGAAAAGGCATTTGATTAAAAAACCCCAGACACAAAGGGGCAGTGTGGCTTGTGGGAGTTCCCTGAGATCTCAGAGCACCCAGATCCCTAGGCAGCCTCCCCTGAGCTAGGGGTTCACTCACCTCCCAAGTGCCATTCCCTCAGTCAGCATCCATCCATCCATCCATCCATCCATCCATCCATCCATCC